CACCCGTGTGCTCACTTCCGCTTTAAGATCTCCATCGGACGTAATTGCTGATCCCAGTACTGAAAGGGAAAGTGCTGATATCGTTGTGATACTTATTAGTATCGCAACGATATCAGCACTTTCCCTTTCACCTCATTGTCACCACAGTAAATTGGAAGAGCTAGAAGCAGAACAGCCGCACCATCAGCAACAGTTAGGAGTAAGCATAGGGTGTACTACAGGGCAGTGGGCGGGTCTTTGAGATGAAATGCTAGAACTTCGCTTGCGGGCCTGACTGCTAGTCTAAGGAACACGTCTGCACATGAAGTGAAGGCAGATACTTGCCTTTACTTCATGTGCAGTCAAAATTCATCCTAGAGCAACACTAATTCTTAGAGAAATGTTAACGATCGAAAGAAAAATGGAACCAGTATGGTAACGTCAGTAACGTCAGTGAAATCAGCACCAATAAAAAACGACATCAAAGAAAAGTTCAGTGAAAAGGTGGCGCTCTTTGGCGACAACCTATAGTTGATCCTTAGCCGCCAGCTGCCGCAAAGTCTTATGCCCAAAATAACCACTATAATGTGCAAGTTTACAAGAAACTGGGTTGGAAAGTCGTAGCCCAGGTCAAAAATGAATGCCATCATGAATGCCGCATTCCTGGCCAGGAGCATCAGTTACCGTCTGGATGAAGTTTCCATGGAAACTTTTTCTGTCTCGCAGGTATGTTATTATGGAAAGGAAATGCTGGCCCCGTTGCCGACACAACTCATTGAACGTGACGATTATTCATTGAAAGCAGTCTCTTAGAAAGTATTAATAAAAGGATAAAGGATACGTCATCGTCGTTTGTCAATCCCTTTCTGGGATGCGGCACGCACTGTACATCCATTCAGAATGTGATGTGGCCTATACAATGACTTGCGGGGACCAATCTTTATGCAATTCAGGGTTATTCTCCTTCCAGTCGAAACTGATACCAGTTCATGGTCCCTGAGGAAAAGAAAGTTTGGTTGGCCTGGTTGGGGGGGGTGAGTCGATCCGGGATTTGATCCTCCGACCGTAGCGTGGTAAACGTGCCGTTTGTCACTACACCTCTCTGCCTCGAAAAAGCACTAGTGCGAAAAACCATTCACGATGACAACGTTTATAGATCGGAATACATCATAAGAGTGGGAAAAATGAAATGACATGACATCTCACTAAGCCGTGTGGACATCGCTGCAGCATTGCACCAAAATGAGCAAAAAGCGACGGAGAGCAATTAGAGTGAAAGGAAGAAGCCGATTCGAATCTCCGCGGCTCTAGAGATTACAAATAAATTGTATTAACCCCACCTATCATAAAAAGAAGTAATGTTGGGAAGTAAAAGAGAGAGAAAAACTAGGAAACGTTCGCTAAACTCGCTCAGTCACGTCTCTCAACACGTTTTTACTCGACTGTACTTGGAAAAACGTTAGAAAATCTGATTCGGAATTTTTCTAGGATCATTTTCCCTAGAGATGTCCCGAATAAGATTTCTAATGACACATTTACCATTTCCAAAAGGGAGGGCCCGAACAGAAGATGTAGTTGTTGTTATTTTATATTTCTTAATTTTTATATCTTCGTCAGCTACAGAGAAAAATGACGACGCAAGCAAGCTAAAGCACGAACTCACAGCTGATCGAAAAGGTATAACTGAAGTGCATGAAAAATATGAGGAAGATGGCAAATTCCAGCAGAAAATCAACCTCTGCTGTTAAATATCGGAACATGATTTGTTGAAAATTCCCTCATTCTGTCCACTGGTCTGCTCTACTTCCCACTTTTAACTGAAAGATGAGGGCAACAAGAAAAAGAAAGGTGAGGATCACAAGAAAAAGAAAGCAGACTGACTAGAAAAGAGGTATAGGGGCCACACGATTGAATCTCTACTTCCCGAGTACGGCGAACCATTTGGCATCAGGAACAAATAACCTCACTAGAACTTGAGCTTCAAAGGTCACCAGAAAAAGGGCAAAACGAATCACACACGATTTTTGAAGTATTTGCTCCCTTACATCTGTCCTCCTCCCTTTTCCCGCTAATAATATTTCCCACTGGCTTCGCCCTCATGTTTACTTAACAGGTTCGAGTGGAAGCACATGGTTCAAAAGACCCTACTCCTCCAGAGCGCCTTAATATGGTAGGGAAATGGGAAGTCCCAGGGTGAAGTGACGACAGATTTCCAGCGAGGCGCAAGCTTTGGCCCAATGCAAGGCAGCAGCTGCCCTTCTTATCGATGAAAACTGAGCAAGAAAAGCACGAACTGGCACAACGCCAGCTGTTTAAGCGGCTCTGATTTCCGTTTGTCGCGTAGCGTGCCGCGTCACCGCGTGCAGCGCGATTTGGGCGATGTTGTTGCAGCTGCTGTGTTACTGTTCAGCCCTGAAGTTGTTGCGGAACATTGCTTCTTCATGAATTTGTCAGTGAATTCGTTATAGCGATAAAATGTTTCTATCTCAGTTCCAGTAACTTCAATGTTCTTTGGGACCCAAACAGATGTGGTCCAAAGCTAGAACTGTCTCAATGAATTTGGGGCTGGTCCACGATCTACGGCTTCAAATGTGTGTGGGAATTATGCTTTACAGATCGTTGGAGGTGATCTCGATTCTTTGGAATATCTAGGAAGCGAAAAGCCCACCTCCTTCGTTCTCTCTCCCCTCTTTCCGTACTTCCCCTCTTGAATGCTCTGTCAGAAGATGCAATGGAAACTGCAGACCACCAAAGCGAGAATACAACCGTTGACAGAAGCCCCTATAACCCGCCCCCAGCTTGAGGCAGTACGCTTTTCTAACCTCTGACAAGCAGAACGCTTTTCTAACCTCTGACAATAGAAGGGAGATGGGCAGTTCGCCCAGTTGGGGCAGAAGTCACGCTCAGGAGCGAATATAAAGAGTGCGTTTCGTCTACGAAAGGGTCATATTTTTATATGGAGCAGATGTGTCTATAAAGAGCGAAAGCCATCGCAAAACTTTGGGTGGTCGAAGGTCATTAAAAGAGGAGTGCATTTCGGATTTCTACCCGATCATATTACTTCTCATTTGTTCGGTTTTCAATTAGCTCATTTCTCTTTTGGTCAGTATTGACCTTCAATTATGCCTTGTCTGGACGTTCTAAGCTCAGAGACGTATACTATATGAATGTTCGTAAAGTCGAATGTCATGTCACTATTGTAACTTTATTTCAACTAGCAAGTACTTTATAACATACGTAGGCCTGACCTACCCTCTGCCATCGGGTAGCCCCATGGTTTTTTGCTTACAGAAGGAAGCTGGCTTTGATTGGAGGGAGTGCTGTATTCATAGCGCTTTCCTTAGGAATTTCATTTAAGCAAGGTGATTTTTCAGCGAATGCGAAAGGTGCCAAAGTTCGGCGAATACGACAAAAATCATCTCCTAACCGAACTGTCTCAAAACTTCCCGCGCAGTTTTTGCGACACTTCAGCATATTACGCTGAAAGAATATTTCACTGCCTCGAGATGGATCCCGGTCAGCTTCAAGTATTTTGTTAGCTGGAGAAGTTCGGCTTGGTGGGGCACTTTGCTGGTTCCCGTCGACCACTGCCAATGTCTCCTGTGAACACCTATAGATTCTTGTTGAGCTATGCCGCAAGAGCTTCATTTGCACTTGACAAGACTCTTCAGGTCTCACCATGATGAGTCGCGTTCCAGCCTCGTGCCGCTTCCCTTTATCCAGAGACCAGTCGGATCGCCCGGCCTAAACGCCGAGTCTTCTCTTCCTTCTTGAAGCCCGCGCTTCGCACGCGCTCAAGAGTTGCGCTTTAGAGCCTCACTTCTCTGGTGGAAGAAAGGAACAAAGTAAGGCATAAGCAGGGCGATACTACTGTCTTAGGCATTTACGATGCTCTCATGGTGCCTAACCGGTGTCTTCTAATCAAATAAAATGTAGAAACGCAGCCAATTAAGTCGCAGGGCACTTCACTTTTATAATGAAAGGTTTGAAATCTGGTCATGGATAATCGATTACTGTCCTCCCCATCTTATGACAGCCACGGATTCTTCGGTCTCCGCAGTCGCTGCGTGCTCCTGTTCAGGCGAGCGTCGTCGCGCCAATATGGTACCCCTTCACCTCACCTATCCCCAAACTAACCTCAGCTATTCCCCGCTCAGCCACCCTACAGGTCACGCTCAGCTGCTACGCGAATAGCCCGTGCAATGGTTCTGAGTGCACTAAATGGTTGTGTTATGTTGTGTGAGCGGTTGTTATGACTATCAAAACGCTACCACAATTTGATAATGCAACATTAATCGGTTCAGTTCCGATTGCGGTCGATCCATTTTCTCCCCATCTTGTCGCAACCGTAGACGCCTTACCGCCGCAGGGGCGCTGTGCTCCTAATCTTCCCTTCTTTGTCGCAAACCGTAAGACGCCTTAACAGCCGCAGCCCGGCCTATGCTGCTCCTAATCGCGAAATCGCCGTTCTCATCTGGTATCCCCTCACCACATCATATCCCACTGACCCTATTTAACCGGCACCCACCCCCGCACGTGGTATGCAGCCGCCATGCAACATAGGGACACTACTCCGCCACTGCTCTCTACCACCGCCTTGCTCGTGCTCACGTCCAGCTCCCAAGCGAAGCACAGCTCCTGCAGTAGCACAGAGTATATCACAGTGGTTGGCCCCAGTTTGCCCGATTCAATCCATATGCCTCCTTCCCCTGCATGGGCTCAGATCCGACTGAGTACGCGCAAGGGAGTGAGGATGGGAGAAGGGGGTCACTCGATACTAACTCCCACCTTCCTCACCTCACCCCATTCCGTACTCGCCACTCCACCCCCCTCCCCCACCCCACCTTGCCCCTTGCACGCGCTTACGTCCAACTGCCACGCGAGCAACCCGTACAATGGCTCGGAGTGTAGTGGTTTTCTTATATAGTGGAGAGTGTTATCACAACCAAAACAACTTCTTAGTTCGTTACGGTAACATAGGCTTGCAGTTTTGTTAGCGGTTGTTTCCTCATCCCTTAGGTGCGGGTTTCTACTGAAACGCGCGCTACGCACCCCTCACTGTACCCCCCTCCCCGCGACCCTCCCCTCTGCCTCCCTCCCATACACGTGCTCAGCTCCGGCTGAGCACGTGCAGGAGAGGGAGGCAGGGCGACCCGGCACCCCCACCCTGCCCCCGCCACGAGCACACGTCCAGCTGCCACGCCAGCAGCTCGTGCAATGGCTCGGAGTGTACCGAATGGTTGTCTTATATAGCGGAGGCTGTTATCACAATCAAATCATTGGACTGCTACATCCTCCCAGTCGGTTACCGGTTTGCCTAGCGGTCGTTTTCGCCTCCAGCGAACTCGAACCCGTGAAGTATTTTGCGGACGGACAGACAAACATACATACATACATACATACATACATACAAACCTACATACATACAAACATACAAACCGACACACAAAGTTACTGGTTTATAGAATGAAAGGAAGATCCTAATGTCCCAGCGTCTATCACACACCCACGATATTTATGCGCTGCCAAAAAACTTCTGATGTCGTTCAACTCTCGGAACATGCGTTGCTGCATTGCAACTCTTGTGCATTTTTTGTTCGAGAGGCTCACAGAGAGAACATAACCCATCCTCAATAATGAGCTAGCTGGTTGATGAGTGGCAAACAAGGATTTTGTGTACAAGTTCCATGCAAAAAAGATAGCGCGGTGGACAACTTCGCCATCGCTCCTCGCCAAGTCTGAATGCGGCTGTAAAGAGCGCGTTCAGACTTCGCCGATCGCGCGCATCGCGATCGCTTGCGAATCAGCCGATTGGCATCCGCGCGATTGGATCGCGCGATTGGGATCGCGCGATCCGATCGCGCTACTGAGGGTGAAATTACTGCGGGAGGGGGTCATGTTCGTTCATGTTCAACTCAACTCAACAAACAACAACAACAACAACAAAGTTCTGGGAAGGGAGCGTACTAATATCACCATTTCTCACATCACAATGCTGTATCCTGCCTCCAATAGGCAGTTCCAAAAACGATATAAAAGTAATTCGACCTTTTTTGATGTCTTTTATTCCGTGTTCATATTCGCAATACTGACGTTTGCAGAAACCGTCGAAAGGAAAGGTTGTGTATAGACCTGGAGGATGGCAGAACAAACAAAGCAAACACAACAATGTGACAAAAGCTATAAACCGATGATATCTGGAGGACTGGCAAAATCGGGGGGAAGGGAGAGAAACAACATCACCCGCTGTTAAAAGTTCTGCGTGTCTTACTTTTGGAACAAGATGTTCAATACTCCGCTTGAACGTACTCAGATGCAAAATTCAGTATAATAATTAGCATATTGTATATTTAGTACTATTTTACATAGGAAATAATAAATAACTCAAAGATATTTCGAAACGTTCTTTAAAATTAGGAGGGCGTTATGTACACAAAGAGAGAAAGAAGGAAAAGAGAGAGAGCAGGATCAATAAACATATACGCACATAACCCCCTCCCGCAGTAATTTCACCCTCAGTAGCGCCGAATCATCGCGCGATCCGATCGCGCGATCCAATCGCGCGATCCAATCGCGCGATCCAATCGCGCGATCCAATCGCGCGATCCGAATCGCGCGATCCGATCGCGCGATTCGATCGCGCGATCCAAGCGATCCGATCGCGCGATCGCGAAGTCTGAATGCGCTCTAACACTAGTTAGGCGGCGCTAGGTAGACAAAATGGATTGCTGGCTGACTGACAAGTGATTTTGCTTTCCCTTTTGAGCTTGTCCTTCAATACCTTCAGATCCAGTGACGAGAAGTAACCTGATGTGGGCTTTTCATTCAAAGTCATAATTTCGGGCTGGGAAATGATTGAATAAGCGTTTTATAATGACTAGGTTGAGAATTTCGTCCCTGTACGTTCTGTCCATTCGGCGGTACGGTACCGTCAGGTGATGTTTGATGCTGGGGTGAGACAAAGCTTTGATAAGCCCCTTATTCTGCCTTCACACTCACCTACAAGATAAGTTTGTCTCGTAACACTGTATACGGGCGTGGACATAATAACTCTGCTTTATTCAAACGGTCCCTATGGGTACTTGTACCCACTGCATCTTCAACGTGACTGTTTTCTGTTTTTCTCTGCGCTGCCTTGCTTTATATGGCGTTCCGTGAACACTGTGAGGCCGCGTTCATACTTTGCGACTCGGAAAAATGGTTTTAGAACAATAAGGGTTCCCGGAGAACGTGCGATAAGAAGAATATTGGTATCCCATTGGCACTTTGAGAGAATCATCGTTTTGGGAGAATCGGCGCTTCGAAGGAAAAGGAAAGCATAGCCATGGACCGGCTCTGGTCGCTTGTTCCCCCAGACGCCAACTCCTCGACTCGCGAAGTGTGAAAGCAGTCTGATGAAACCCGTGGAGGGCATTTCAGCCGAATTAACCAGGCGCGGATTATATGTACTTGCTGAATACCGGGGTGTGGTTGGCCCGCATTTGCTAGTGCATTACGCGCAGCGGATGATGGCGTGTCTGCGCGCGGCTACGACTGGAACTGCGCACTCCGCCAAACGCTATTTCCACCCATTTTGAGGCTGCTTAAGCAGTGAGCGGCTAGCAACTGGGTGGAAAACGACTTTACGAAGGATATGATTCAGTCTTGTCGCTTACTAAAAGAACGAAACGAGTTGGCGCCTCGCCAAGCGCAACCGCGCTGAAACGCCCCATCATTAGGCAGCGAACATGACTATACTGACGCGCACAAGAATCTCCTGCTTCTATGAGCGAATGCGTGGTGAATACCATGAGAAAGGTAAAGTAAAGGTGAGCACCTAATCTTTCTACCTTTTCATAGGTTTGCCATGAAGCAATGACAAGAATTCTGCTGCGGACTAAATCAGTCCTCCAATCTCTGCGGAGGCTTTCTTTGAGTGTCGAGGATCCCACAAAGCTTGTCGATCTCAGTAAATATCCTCCAGAGAAAATACGAAATTTCAGGTAAGACTTTTTTAAAGCGGCGTTTCAGTTATTTCATAATATCTGACCTTTTAGCATTGTGGCGCATGTGGATCATGGGAAGAGCACATTGGCTGATCGCCTTTTAGAATTAACCGGTGTTGTGAAGCCCGGAGAACGAAGCAGTCAAATGCTTGACCGGTTACCTGTGGAGAGGGAAAGGGGAATAACCGTGAAAGCTCAGACTGCTGCCTTACCATACAAAGTAAGGGGTATTCATCTTTTCTGTTGTTGACGATCCCATTTAGCTGTGTGCTTTCAGGATTATTTACTAAACTTAATTGACACTCCTGGTCATGCAGATTTCTCAGCTGAAGTATCTCGTTCTCTCGCCGTTTGCGACGGGATACTGCTTGTAGTTGCAGCAAATCAAGGAGTACAAGCACAGGTGTTTACCCTGCCTCTTTCTAAACCTTTTGAGGTTTCGATTAACTATAACAATCGACTTTGGTGAAAGTCACTCCAAAAGTTCCTTCTTTTTCCTGGAGAGCATAAGTTTAACAAGATTATGGCACTGGCCTAAACTTTCTGTTGTTATCACGCCCGAGAAGAACAAAGGCTCACGACTAAGCGAAGAACCTCACTTAACCACTAATAATTGTGAAAAAAAAGCTGCAACATCCTACAGCAGGTCTATAAAAAGTTGCAATGCAACATTTGGTTTCATAGCCTCGAGATTTTGCACACTTTCTCTTCTCTACTTTCTCTCAATCCCGATAAATTTTACTAATACAGTACGCAGAAAGAGTTCAATACGTTCTATGATGTGTAATTTTTCAGACAATAGCCAATTTTTGGCTTGCGTTCGAGAAAAATATTCAAATGATTCCTGTCATCAACAAAATCGATCTGAGTGGAGCTGACGTGCCAAAAGTACATTTGCTAGTTGTTTTTTATGTTGCATATAGTAACTCTCGAAATTCAGGTAGAGAGCCAATTAAAGAATTTATTCGAGTTTGACCCTCATGAATGCGTCAAGATTTCCGCAAAATCTGGCTTCAATGTAGAGAAACTGTTCGACCTAATAATAGATAGGATTCCACCGCCGAAGTCATATAGCGATGCTCCATTCCGGTGAGTTGTTTTCTGCTGGTGGTGCGGACATTCTTCAGGTCAGGCTGTGTTCATGTTTTTAGACTTGGCGTTTTGGGAGATTTGACTTCTGAGTCGAAAGAAAAGTTCACGTATCGAC